TTCAGAGTTTTAACATGTAATTTTATTTGTAATAACACATTGATAATGTAATAAATTTATAATATTTTAATAAAAAAGAGTCAGATGCTTTTATTTAAAGTATTCATAATCATACAATTATCTTGATCCAAAATTAAGAAGAATTGTTAAAACAAGTTTATAAATTTTAAAGATTAAATCTTGATTTGAATAGATAAAATTTTTTTCACTTAAAATATAAATTATCAAGAGACTTTAAATAAATTAAAAAATTAAAAAAATCCTTTCAAATTAATAAATTTTCAATCTGTAACCATTCTAGATCACATATTCTACAACAATTAGGAGTATAAAAATTGAAAACTACAATATTTAGAGATATTATTGGAAAGATACAGACACGTAAGGAATGAAAAACTTAAGTCAGGGGTTTGGGCTAGGGGCCCTAAAAAATATAAAAGATTTTCTTCAAGTTTAATTATAAAATAACAAATTACAGTACATATATGTTAATTATTGGGTAAACAGGACGAACCTAAACTTACCTGTCACTTGTAACATAATTGATTATCTCAATCCATAGTTTTTCCTCCCAATTCAACATATAACTTGATTGTTCTAATATCTTTTCCTTTAGTTAGAATGTTCTTTTGCAATTACTTTTTTTTTTTTAACATATGATGACAATAGATTATATATATATAAAGAGATTTTTTTTAAAATTTCTTCTTATTAAATTCAAAATTAAAATTTAAAATATCTAATTTAAAATCTCAAAATATTAATTATTGAGTCATTTCTTGGTGGTTTTTTCTTTTGTAATTAGCAATTATTGTAATTGCTAATTGTTTTTGACTTTAAACTTTTAATTATTGATTATTTGACTTTTAATATTCTTAATGATAATTGCTAATATTTGATTATATTTTTTGATTTCTAATTTATTTGGGGAAGAGGCCATGAGTGGTGCGGCTGTTGTGTGGAAAAGGGAGGGTGTAAGGAGCAGGTGAAAAGGCTAAAGGCTGCTTCTTGACGGACTGAGCCAGGTAGGGAGGTTGCAAGGCAGCGGTTATGTTGGGGAGGAAGCTTGGTCTCGTACAGGAATACCACCAGTTCAGGCCGGGGTAGCACGTTGAGGAAAGAGGGTTTGGTAGAGGCGCAAGGGGTGGAAGACACAGGTATTTGCGGCATGGGATAAGGAAGTTGGCAAAGAAGAGTGACTGATACGAGAATAAGCCAGCCCCTAAGGGGCAGGGAGCAATGGTATAGGCTGTTTTTGTTGTATGTGAGCAAAGCCAAAGATGTAGAAAATAGAAGAAATTGAAATTATGGGCAAGGCCAAGGAATTTCCAGGAAGCTATTTAAAGGATAATCGATTTTCAATATATAATGCAGGTGGCTTCACAGAACTGGTACAATGCCCAACACGAGAATTTTAAGGTTTCAATCATCAAAATTCTTAAACAAAAACCCAAAAATTGAGAAGAAGAGGATTGTAAGTTTGTAACTGTTTGTTGTATTGATTAGTGTATACCAAGGTGTCACCCAAAGCTTTGTGAGAAGGCCCTATGTATTGGGCCTTCTATGAGAGACGGAAGCATTATTATAGTTTTAAAGGCTATTAAACATCAATCCTTATCATCAATCCTTATTGTTAATAGTGCTTCCGATGTAGCCTTAATGGACTTAGGTGGCCCAAAACGACAAACATTGAAGAAGTTTTGATGGTATATGCTTCTGTTGTTCTGTGTTCTTATGCTATAAAAAAACTGCATGAAACTACCCCACAATGGCTCGATCAATTTCTACTTCCGTGAACGATTTCTTGCTTAGGTTTGTGCCCCTAATTTGCTGGGTTTGCTTTCTGAAAATAACAGGTAAGGAGTTGTTATTTGCGCTCAGAATTCACTGGGTTGGTTCTCAATTGTTTTCATCTTCTTTTTTGATTTACATAACGCAATTTCTGCCATCGGCAATGAAGATTTTGCGCTTGATTCCATGGTCTGTGACTCTAATTTAAGGCTAATGCCAAACCAAAAGGATGGAGAAGAGAAAATTTACACAAGGGATGCCTTTACTAATCTTCTGCTATCAAATCCAAGTTGAAGAATCCCACTAGCGTCAGCAATCTCATTCATTTTGGAGGAGCGGGTTCCGAAGCAAGCATCCATCTCCATTTGGATCATTGATGTCCAAGTAGAGGGTATTCTCATTTAGAGGAACGCAGGGGGCCACTTTCTCATGCACACCAACTGTTCCGCATATGGCCCGTGTGAGTTGTAGTTGGTTTTATTACTAGGAATACATACTGAGAATTAGTAGTTGGTTTAAGATTATCTTTAATATCTGGATAAGGATTTTTTACATAATTTTTATTTCTCATCCAACAAGAATTTAATTTAGTTTGTAAATTTAATTTCCTTCTAAATGAATTTTTCCTGTATGTGTAGTGAATTAGGCATGAAGAGTTAGGACTCTGTGTTTCTTCCATTATAAATTTTATTTACCAGTTTTCATATGAAAATCCGTGGTCAAATTTAGCAAGCAAAAAATAAGGGAAATCAAAAACAACATAAACACGATGAAAAAAGCACCCGGTGGCAAGCGATTAGATTTGGGATTTAATAGATTTAATATATTCAATTCCAAATATGATTTCTCTTCATAATCTTATTTGATGATGTTTACATATATTTCCACAGAAAGAACACTCAAAACCCAAGGCCCATAAGAAGAACTTTCTCTTTTTTTGAACTATTAAAAGTTTAAATATCTTGCTTTTGATGTGCAATTTCTTGCAAGGGAATCTGTTTTAGTGCATTGTTTTAATGTATTTGCACTACTTCATTTGTTAGTTCTTTTTACGAAAAACTAATATTTTCAAATTTGAATTTAAAGCGAGAAAACTTTTAAAGACAAATTTTAATGATTGAACCGGAGGGTGTTACTAAATATGTTGAATCGAAAGATGTACTAATCATTTTTTCTAACTATATAATTTCATTTTGCTAGTAAAATGTTATTATGGATTAAGAAGGATGAGCTTTCATAAGAATCCTTGGAGGTTTTGATCCCTGTTACTTTATACACACAAAACAACTTTTTAGCAAGGTAGCTGTTCAATCTCCATGCAAACATTAGATAAGGAAATGGAAGATTTGCGAGTAAGAGCGGCAATTTGAATTTTGATATGGTACATTGTTGTTCTTGTTTCTTTTCTCTTCATAATTTGCATGTTTTTCTTTAGAGTGATTCCATCTTGATGCCATACAATTACAATGTTTCTTCAATCCTTCTTATCTACAATTAGCTCATCAAAGGTGTTTTCAAGATATGGATTTATAGTTACATATTTAAAATTTTATGCTCCCTCGCTTTTTGCACTCATTTAATGTTTCCCTGCTTAAATCAGAGAGACCTTGGACATACTAAATTATCACTCAACATCAAGTTTTTTTTTTTTTTCTCCTTCTTGTGTCAGAATGGGATGGTTGCTGTGACTAAGCCAAGATACAGGTTCAAGTCAGGAGACTTAAGCATCTTTAAGCTTGCATTAGGACTTAATTGGAAGACACATGCTGTCATTTTGTTAAGTTGCCACTACATAATGGATTGAACATTAAAAAATTGTTAATAACGTTTTGTGTTGTTGAATTAAGAGGCTTGAATGCTGCTGTTAAAAGTGAAATCACTATTGTTTTGATGTCATCCGATCCTTTTTATTGCCTCATCATACAGGTGAGGACTAACTGACATGCACCAATAATATGTTGCCAAATTCTTGGATGGACCAGGTAGGAAAGGATTGGTTGTCTTAATGCTGGGACAAGGGAGATATTGCTTGTGCTGTTACTGAATTAATTTACTATTGATTTCAAGCTTATATTTGCTGAAATTAGTTTTGTTTAAACTGTTGCTTTGATTGCGTAGGCCTTGTGAGTTTTAAGATTCATGTTTGTGTAGATTTGTTAAGGTTTTTTAACATATGATTTAAAATTATAAGTCAAGGTGTAATAATTATATTTTTTTATTATAAATTTATATTAAAAAATAAAATAAAATTTCAA